CTCATTCAGATTTGATGGAGAAATTAAAACCTTTACAGAAAAGCAAAAGCTGAGAGAGTTCAGCACCACCAAACCAGCTTTACAACAAATGCTAAAGGATCTTCTCTAGGCAAGAAACACAAGAGAAGGAAAAGACCTATAATAACAAACCCAAAATAATTAAGAAAATGGGAATAGGAACATACATATCGATAATTACCTTAAATGTAAATGGATTAAATGCCCCCACCAAAAGACACAGACTGGCTGAATGGATAGAAAAACAAGACCCATATATATGCTGTCTACAAGAGACCCACTTCAGACCTAAGTGAGGGGATGGAAAAAGATATTCCATGCAAATGGAAACCAAAAGAAAGCTAGAGTAGCAATTCTCATATCAGACAAAATAGACTTTAAAATAAAGACTATTAGAAGAGACAAAGAAAGACAGTACATAATAATCAAGGGATCGATCCAAGAAGAAGACATAACAATTGTAAATATTTATGCACCTAACATAGGAGTACCTCAGTACATAAGGCAAATACTAACAGCCATAAAAGGGGAAATCAGCAGTAACACGTTCATAGTAGGAGACTTTAACACCCCACTTTCACCAATGGACAGATCATCCAAAATGAAAATAAATAAGGAAACACAAGCTTTAAATGATACATTAAACAAGATGAACTTAATTGACATTTATAGGACATTCCACCGAAAAACAACAGAATACACATTTTTCTCAAGTGCTCATGGAACATTCTCCAGGATAGATCATATCTTGGGTCACAAATCAAGCCTTGGTAAATTTAAGGAAATTGAAATTGTATCAAGTATCTTTTCTGACCACAACGCTATGAGACTAGATATCAATTACAGGAAAAGATCTGTAAAAAATACAAACACATGGAGGCTAAACAATGCACTACTTAATAACGAAGTGATCACTGAAGAAATCAAAGAGGAAATCAAGAACTACCTAGAAACAAATGACAATGGAGACACGACGACCCAAAACCTATGGTATGCAGCAAGAGCAGTTCTAAGAGGGAAATTTATACCAATACAATCCTACCTTAAGAAACAGGAAACACCTCGAATAAACAACCTAACCTTGCACCTAAAGCAATTAGAGAAAGAAGAACAAAAAAACCCCAATGTTAGCAGAAGTAAAGAAATCATAAAGATCAGATCAGAAATAAATGAAAAAGAAATGAAGGAAACGATAGCAAAGTTAAATAAAACTAAAAGCTGGTTCTTTGAGAAGATAAACAAAATTGATAAAACATTAGCCAGACTCATCAAGAAAAACAGGGAGAAGACTCAAATCAATAGAATTACAAATGAAAAAGGAGAAGTAACAACTGACACTGCAGTAATACAAAAGATCATGAGAGATTACTACAAGCAACTCTATGCCAATAAAATGGACAACCTGGAAGAAATGGACAAATTCTTAGAAATGCACAAGCTGCCAAGAATGAATCAGGAAGAAATAGAAAATATGAACAGACCAATCACAAGCACTGAAATTGTAACTGTGATTAAAAATCTTCCAACAAACAAAAGCCCATGACCAGACAGCTTCACAGGCAAATTCCATCAAACATTTAGAGAAGAGCTAACACCTATCCTTCTCAAACTCTTCCAAAATATAGCAGAGGGAGGAACACTCCGAAATTCATTCTACAAGGCCACCATCACCCTGATACCAAAACCAGACAAGAATGTCACAAAGAAAGAAAACTACAGGCCAATATCACTGATGAACATAGATGCAAAAATCCTCAACAAAATACTAGCAAACAGAATCCAACAGCACATTAAAAGGATCATACACGATGATCAAGTGGGGTTTATTCCAGGAATGCAAGGATTCTTCAATATACGCAAATCAATCAATGTGATACACCATATTAACAAACTGAAGAAGAAAAAAAATATGGCCATCTCAATCGATGCAGAGAAAGCTTTTGACAAAATTCAACACCCATTTATGATAAACCCCTTGCAGAAAGTAGGCATAGAGGTAACTCTCCTCAACATAATAAAGGCCATATATGACAAACCTACAGCCAACATCGTTCTCAATGGTGAAAAACTGAAACCATTTCAACTAAGATCATGAACAAGACAGGTTGCCCACTCTCACCACTATTATTCAACATAGTTTGGGAAGTTTTAGACACAGCAATCACAGAAGAAAAGGAAATAAAAGGAATCCAAATCGGAAAAGAAGAAGTAAAGCTGTCACTGTTTGCAGATGACATGATACTATACATAGAGAATCCTAAAGGTGCTACCAGAAAACTACTAGGGCTAATCAATGAATTTGGTAAAGTAGCAGGATACAAAATTAATGCACAGAAATCTCTTGCATTCCAGTACACTAATGATGAAAAATCTGAAAGTGAAATCAAGAAAACACTCCCATTTACCATTGCAACAAAAAGAATAAAATATCTAGGAATAAACCTACCTAAGGAGACAAAAGACCTGTATGCAGAAAATTATAAGACACTGATGAAAGATGATACAAATAGATGGAGAGATATATCATGTTCTTGAATTGGAAGAATCAACATTGTGAAAATGACTCTACTACCCAAAGCAATCTACAGATTCAATGCAATCCCTATCAAACTACCACTGGCATTTTTCACAGAACTAGAACAAAAAATTTAACGATTTGTTTGGAAACACAAAAGACCCCGAATAGCCAAAGCAATCTTGAGAATGAAAAATGGAGCTGGAGGAATCAGGCTCCCTGACTTCAGACTATACTACAAAGCTACAGTAATCAAGACAGTATGGTCCTGGGACAAAAACAGAAAGACCGATCAATGGAACAGGATAGGAAACCCAGAGATAAATCCACGCACGTATGGTCACCTTATCTTTGATAAAGGAGGCAGGAATGTACAATGGAGAAAGGACAGCCTCTTCAATAAGTGGTGCTGGGAAAACTGGACAGGTACATGTAAAAGTATGAGATTAGATCACTCAAAGTTAAGCTCAAAATGGATTAAAGACCTAAATGTAAGGCCATAAACTATCGAACTCTTAGAGGAAAACATAGGCAAAGCACTCTGACATAAATCACAGCAAGATACTTTTTGATCCACCTCCTAGAGAAAGGGAAATAAAAAGAAAAATAAACAAATGGGACCTAAGGAAACTGCAAAGCTTTTGCACAGCAAAGGAAACCATAAACAAGACCAAAAGAGAACCCTCAGAATGGGAGAAAATATTTGCAAATGAAGCAACTGACAAAGGATTAATTTCCAAAATTTACAAGCAGCTCATGCAGCTCAATAACAAAAAACAAACAACCCAATCCAAAAATGGGCAGAAGACCTAAATAGACATTTCTCCAAAGAAGATATACAGACTGCCAACAAACACGTGAAAGAATGCTCAACATCATTAATCATTAGAGAAATGCAAATCAAAACTACAATGAGATATCATCTCACACCAGTCAGAATGGCCATCATCAAAAAATCTAGAAACAATAAATGCTGGAGAGGGTGTGGAGAAAAGGAAACACTCTTGCACTGCTGGTGGGAATGTGAATTGGTACAGCCACTATGGAGAACAGTATGGAGGGTCCTTAAAAACCTACAAATAGAACTACCATATGACCCAGCAATCCCACTACTGGGCATATACCCTGAGAAAACCATAATTCACAACGAGCCATGTACCGAAATGTTCATTGCAGCTCTATTTACAATAGCCCGGAGATGGAAACAACCTAAGTGTCCATCATCAGATGAATGGATAAAGATGTGGCACATATATACAATGGAATATTACTCAGCCATAAAAAGAAACGAAAATGAGCTATTTGTAATGAGGTGGATGGACCTAGAGTCTGTCATACAGAGTGAAGTAAGTCAGAAAGAGAAAAACAAATACCGTATGCTAACACATATATATGGAATTTAATTTTAAAAAATGTCAAGAAGAACCTAAGGATAAGACAGGAATAAAGACATAGACCTACTAGAGAATGGACTTGAGTGTATGAGGAGAGGCAAGGGTAAGCTGTGACAAAGTGAGAGAGTGGCATGGACATATATACACTACCAAACGTAAAATAGATAGCTAGTGGGAAGCAGCCGCATAGCACAGGGAGATCAGCTTGGTGCTTTGTGACCACCTAGAGGGGTGGGATAAGGAGGGTTGGAGGGAGGGAGACGCAAGAGGGAAGAGATATGGGAACATATGTATATGTATTACTGATTCACTTTGTTATAAAGCAGAAACTAACACACCATTGTAAAGCAATTATACTCCAATAAAGATGGGAAAAAAATAAAAATAAAAATGATGTCAGATAAGAATAAGCAATGGAGGAGATATATCAAATATGTGTGACTCAGATTTTTTTGCTTTGGAGACCAGGGAGATGTAAGGAATATAAGATAAGTGAGGGTGATGACTAGGTTCATTTTGGACATTTATTGCAACACCCATGTAATCAATTGAAGATGTGTAGTAGGCAGAGATTATAGATGGATCTGAGGTATATATTCAGGGTCTGGCCAGGAAATAATTAGCTGGGCAAGGCACCAGCATAAAAATTCCAGTTGTCAAAGGGTTTTTCACTTAGATTAGATTAACGGGAAAAAATGATCTTAATGACAGCCTGGCAAAAAAACATTCATAAGGCAGCAGATTCAAAGCATAGTTTTTTTGTTTTTTGTTTGTTTGTTGCGGTACGCGGGCCTCTCACTGTTGAGGCCTCTCGCGTTGTGGAGCGCAGGCTCTGGACGCGCAGGCTCAGCAGCCATGGCTCACGGGCCCAGCTGCTCCGCGGCATGTGGGATCTTCCCAGACTGGGGCACAAACCCATGTCCCCTGCATCGGCAGGCGGACTCTCAACCACTGCGCCACCAGGGAAGCCCCAAAGCATAGTTTAACAACCATTTTTATGAACAAACAGAAGGTTTTATTAAATGATAAATTTGCGAACTGACCGTATAATTTATCTTTTTCTCTTTTTTAAGATTGAAGAATTGGAAGAGAAGCTTAATGATGCACTTCACCAGAAGCAGCTACTAACATTGAGATTAGAAAACCAGTTGACTTTTCAACAAAAGGATGCCAGGTAAAAGTTTTAAAAAGCAGCAATACCGGGCTTCCCTGGTGGCGCAGTGATTGAGAGTCCACCTGCCGATGCAGGGGACACGGGTTTGTGCCTCGGTCCGGGAAAATCCCACATGCCGCTGAGCGGTAGGCCCGTGAGCCATGGCTGCTGAGCCTGCTCGTCCGGAGCCTGTGCTCCGCAACGGGAGAGGCCACAACAGTGAGAGGCCCGCGTACCGCAAATATATAAATAAATAAATAAGTAGCAATACCTGTCTAGCAGTTAGTAATGTCATTACGTATTCATGCATGTGATCGTAAGCTAAAATAGAGAAATCTTCAATCAAAGACGGTAATAATTTTTACATCCAGACTGACAAAAAAAACTACTTGAGACGTACACAAAATTCAAAAAGCCAGAATTCAACATTCATTCAACAAATATTGCCAGTGTCAGTGAACCATAAATGACAATGGAAGCTCTCTAAACTCACCACCACTTAACTGGCTGTCTGGATTAAATTTTTCATTTGCTCTGTAGAACATACTGATATATTCTTATGGCCCATTGAATTCTTCTGGGTTAATGTACCTTTTGTTTGCCTACATACTTCCTCCAGCTCAGTTGTGTGTTTATGCAGAGTCTGTTGTGTTTACTCTCAAATATGCCTATGCCAATCATACTTATTATACTTACATAATCATACTTACACTTAATTAAAATTATATTTTAAAATGAGTACAAAAACATGTCATTTATTTGCAAACTATAATGAATTCTTTGGAAAGATTCAATTAAAGCGAGTGACTAAAAATCATCAAATTAAGTGTAAGCAAGAGGTGTTTAGAGATTAGGGGCAAAAATCAAATCCATAAAAAGTATCCTCAGATTTCCCAAGTGTCTTTTCAAAAGGTCTCCTGCCATTGTAAAGAAATCAGATTTGGAAATCATGAAAAATGATTTACAGAAAAACAAAGCATATCTCCATATTACAAAAAATCTGTACCCTATGTAAAAAATGTTGCCAATGAATGTTTATGTCTATATTTTAATTAGCTGTAAATGTGTAAAGTAGGTGTCTTTTCCCTTTATAAGATCTTACTCTTTAACTGATATTTTAAAAAATTATCAGACCAATTATCAGCTACTATCTCATTAGATAAGTGGTTCTCAAATTTTAGCATGCATCAGAACCACCTGCCGGGCTGAAAAAAGATTGTTGGGTCCCACCCTCAGATTCTGATTTGAGTTGGGCCCTGAGAATTTGCATTTTTACCAAGTTCCCAGATGATGCTAATGCTGCTACTGGTTTGGGGATAACACTTTGAAAACCACTGCATTGGATAATAGGACTTCTACTCTATTTCTTTAGGCACTGATCAAATTAAATGAAGTGGAGAGGGCAGTAGGAGACTATTGCAGTAATTCTCTTGATAGCTGATAGTGGTAAAAAGTGGTTGGATTCTGAATATATTTTGAAGGTAGAGTTGATAGGATGTCCTAATGGATTAGATGTGGGGTTTAGGAGAGAAAGAGGAATCAAGGATTGTACCAACATTTTTGGCCTGAATAAATGAAGGGACGAAATTGCTGTCAACTAAAGATGGTTGGGGGTGGTGGTGGGATGAATTGGGAGATTGGGATTGATATACATACACTAATATGTATAAAATAGATAACTAATAAGAACCTGCTGTATAAAAAATAAATAAATAAAATAAAATTCAAAACTAAAGATGCTGAAACCATAGCGGAATAGGTTTGTGAGAGAAGAGCAGGAGTTCAATTTGGAACATGTTAAGGTAGAGTTGTCGTATTAGAAATCCATGTGGAGGTATATGAGAAGTCCGATCTAGAGATATAAATCTGGGTCATTAGGATATAGATGGTATTTAAGTCACGAGACTGGATGAATTCCCCAAGGGAGTGAACACAGACAGAGGAGGGGACTGAGTACTCCAACACTAAGGCAAACTAGATAATAAGACCGAGAAAGTGCCACCAAGAAAATAGGATAAAAATGAAGAGGAAAAAAATAGGGTGTCTGGGAAGCCAGATGAAGAAAGGAGGGAGAGATCAGATGTCTCAAGTGCTATTGATAGGGATGGAAAGAACTGAGAATTGATCATTAGCAATCTGAATGTTACCAGACCTGATTGGCCTGGGTTTAAGAGGAAAGGCATTGAAGAGAGCACATACAGAATACTTTAGAGAAACAAAAGGGGCAGTGAAAGGGGGTCAAAAATTGTGGGAGCTTGTTTGTTCATTTAAGACAGGACGAATAACAGCATGTTTGTATGTTGATGGGAGTGATACAGTAGGAGGGGGAAAAATCAGAGGGTGCCTTCCTGCTCAAAATTTTTGGGTGGGCAACTAACAATGTGTACTACATGGATTCCTTGAGAAAGGCGGTTGATTATGTGTGGATTACTGATTTCATTACCTCATTGGTTGAATGAATACATTATGGTGGTTCAGTGTTGCCATCTTAAAGAGGTATACCTTGAAGTACCTGGATAAAGACAAATGAAAATTACTTTAATGAGTAGGGTCCAAAGCAGGTATATAAGATTTATACCTTAAGGAGAAGACATGTATAATTTTATAATTTGAATTTTAAATGTTATTAAGAACATTAATTTTCTATTTAATAATTTATGTGGCTACACATTCAGTAATTAGTGTAGCATTGTCATTTCGTGTTTAACTGGTTAAGTCAGCATTTAGTTGGAGCCAAAAATACTATTAAGCTTCTCATTTCTTAATTTTATGTTACTATAAAAAAGGAACTTTGAGAAAATTAGATCTCAGTGATTTTTTTAAGCTTGCTATACATTCTCTCCTAATGTAGAAAATATCAAGAACTAATGAAACAAGAAATGGAAACTATTTTATTGAGACAGAAGCAACTAGAAGAGACAAACCTTCAGCTAAGAGAGAAAGCTGGAGATATTCGTCGAAACCTGCGTGACTTTGAGTTGACAGAAGACCAATATATGAACCTAAAAGGTCTTCCGGAAGATCAGCTTTCTATTCCTGAATATGTGTCTGTAAGTGTCTTGTATCATTAAAAAAAAAAAAAGAATGCATATATTTCCAGACTAAAATTTGCCATTTCTATAGTAGCCATAACTTTTTTTTTTTGCCATAACTTTTGAAGTACCTAATTGATAAATTATTTTATGACTCTGATCTGAAGTGAGTGAATGGTGTTCAGATCACCAAATTTTAAAGGGTCTTGGCCATTGACCTCCAAAGTCAAGCAATAAATAGGGCTCTAAAGTTAATGGCTGGATAATCCATAGAAATGAATTATTTTATCATAAACTGTGGCAGTTTATAATGTTCTCAAATGAAAAATTATAGAGATAACAGATTAGTGTTTGCCAGGGGTTAGGGACATTAAAGAAGAGGGGAGTGGTGTGATTATAAAGGGACAGCATGAGGGCGATCATTACGGATCTAGGTCAGGATCTCAACTGCAGTGTTGGTTACACAAGTCTGTATGTAGGATTGATCTATGGCAGTGTTCTCAAATCTTTCTGATATCAGCATCCATTTACACTCTAAAAATTATTGAAGACCCCAAAGAGATTTTGTTTATATAGACTATATCTGTTAATATTTACCATATTTGAAATTAAAACTGAGAAATTTTTACAATACAGGAATACACAAGTACACACTTCATTAGCCTTAAGGGCGATGATATCATCACACATCATGTAGCCACCGGCAGACACTTAATGGGCATAAGATTAAGAGTAAAAGAGGCAAAAAATATTAGTATTACTAGGAAAATAGTTTTGGTCCCATGGATTTCCTGAAATGGTCTCAGAGTGGCAGGGTGGGACCAGGGCTCTCAAGAGCACACATCTCACACAAACTGCAAGTTTGTGATATACAGAGGTCATTTCACCCTAAGAGGCTTGATTTTTTTCATCTGTGAAAGGGTTAATAATAATAACAGTGCCTTTTATTCAATAGCTTGTCATAATCTATGATGAAAAAGAATCTGAAAAAGAATATTTATATGTATAACTGAATCACCTTGCTGTATAGTGGAAACTAACACAGCATTGTAAATCCACTATGCTTCAATTAAAAAAGAATAATAACAGCAACTTTCTGTTGAGGTAATTGTGAAGATTAACTATGAATTTGTATGTAAAATGCTTAACACAGTGCTTAGAACATAGTAAACACATAATAAATATTATCAGTTCTTTTTGCTGTAGTGGTTGCTACTCTTGGTTCTCATTTGGATAAGGCTTCCAGATTAATGATTTCCTACAAAACGGAGTACTGTTTTTTGTCCAGCTTTTTATTTAACATAGCTTGAACATAATCGTTTTGCCCAAAGTACTGTCCAAAACCAATTAAATATCTCAAGTGCTGTCATTGAGGCTTTAGCCATTGTAGATGGAAAGTATCCCATTAGTGGCAGGCATACATATTTTTGTTCTCTGATCTGTTAATGTTCCTTGTCTTATCTTTTGTTTTCAGACAGTACCATCCTAACTAGTTAATTATACACAGGTTCATTGTGTCAAGTACTAGCCTTAGGACTTGCCTCTTACCAAATATGGTACTCCTGCAATACAGCAATACATTAAGGAGTTTCAGACTGTATGCCTATACAATAAATAGTCCCTAATTGTCCTCTCCTAATTTGCTGATAGCTTAGTTTTGTAGGAGCTTGTTAGTTGGAACACTTTACTAAGTTAAGGCAGGCAAATTCCCCTGAGAGAATTATGAGTGGGAAGAGAGGTCTGAACTGAATGGAACAGTGACATGAAAATACCTCCTGATTCATCCTGATTATCCCTTCCACAGCGGTGGTAGTAAGTAGATTTCACCAAGAGCCTGGGGTGTAGGCTTTTCCTATATTTAGGCATGGGAGACAGAGCAGTGCACAAACCAGACAAAAATTCCTGTCCTCACAGAGCTTACATTCCAATGGAGCAACACACACAACAAATTAAGATATGTAGAACGTTTGTCCTAAATGCTATGGAGAAAAGAGCAGGAATGAAGAGTGAGGATGCTATTTTAAATCAGCGTAGGGGAGGGAGTTCCCTGGCGGTCGAGTGGTTAGGACTCCATGCTCTCACTGCCAAGGGACCGGGTTCGATCCCTGGTCGGGGAACTAAGATCCCACAGGTGGCGCGGCCCCCAGAAGAATCTGGTTAGGGAAGTCAGGGAGGGTTTTACTGATAGGGTGATGTCTGGTCAGAGACCAGAAGGGAGTGAAAGCATGAGCCGTACATTTATATGTGAGAAGAGCTTTTCCATCAGAGGAAAGAGCAAGAGCAAAACTCTGGAACACTTGATGTGTTGAGGAAATAACAAGTGGATAGTGTGGAGTGAGCAGTAGTGGGAGGTAAGGAGTAAGGAGAACATGGAGGACTGATAGAAGAGAGGAAAGAGAGACCGTGTCACAGGTGGGGAGTTACAGATAATCTGGGCCTTGAGGGGACTTAATTGAACATTAAGACTTAATGAAGTATTAGTGGTCAGGGACAATTAAAGACCGTCTTGTATCATTTTGTACAAACAAAACTTTATATATAATAAATATAATTTATATAATCTGAATATATAATCTGAAACTCCTTAACACTTTCCTTTATTATCTTAATACTTTTCCTTGTAGTACTGATAATGGAGAGTGCTGTTAATTAGCAAATTTTAATTGTAATTTGGGTCTCGAGACTGCTTATTAATTTGATTTTTTTTTCAAAGATTCGGTTCCATGAACTAGTGAATCCATTAAGAAAGGAAATCTCTGAACTACAAGTGAAAAAGAAAGACCTGGCCGAAGAATTAAGTGAAAACAAGGGTCAACTGAAACAACTGACTGAGGTTTGTATAATTTTGATCCCTGGTGTGAAGAAGCTCCAAGAGGTCCTTAAGATTTGTGATAGGGAATATAAAAATCAGTGAAAGAAAAATGGAACTCAGGGATGCTGACTGCTGTGATTCTTCATAAGTAGTGGGAAGGAGGTGAGACTGGAAATAGCCATCTTATTTTGGCAGGGTACGTCCATGATATTGGCCGTAATCCCCGGCTGAGTGTTTTGTTGTTGTATCTCATTTCATTCTCAGTTCTTCATTACAGATCCGCCCTGTTGGTGATAAGAAAGGGAGCCCTTGTCCATTTATAAGTCATTTTGCCTCTTCATCCAATACAGTTAGCTCTCCTAATACCTGTTCAGAGCACATGCACTAATGTTAGCATCCACCCCACTGATGCCTTGTGCTGTGCTAGGTGCTGGCAGCAGTGAGTACAAGAGAGACAGTGCCTGCCCTTCCAGAGTTCAAATTCTAGTAGGTTGGAGTTATACCTTAGATGATATCTTGACACTCATTCTTTGTGTGACCTTGAACAAGTCATTCAATGTTTCCTGCTCTGTCAAATGAAGAAAATAATACTATTTGTCCCATTTACTTCATTGAATTGCTCACAATTCTGTTTCAAAGTAAAAATGTGATTTTTAGCAAGGTTGCCTATAAACTATTTTGTGTCCTATTTCAAGGGCAACTTTTACCAAAGATCTGTTATCCAGAAATAAACAATTATGATTTAATTTATATTTTGATGCTCTGATTTGCTGCACTGTTAGTGCTGGATGGAATCTACTTTGGTCATTATAGAGCCAATATTACAGGCAAATGAAGGCTCAGCTTCCATCTGCTCATAGGAGCATTGAAGTCATCAGGAGTGATGCCAGAGAGGCCAATGTGCTGATGTGAACCCTACCACAGGGGTCTATTATGGTGGTTTTTTTCTGCTGCTAACCTGCCACATTGTGCAGGTAAACTGTTCTGCACATTTAGAAAAATAGCTCTTAACTTTTAAAAAATTTGCATCTAAAGTCAAAATAATAAAGGACAAAGAAGACCTCAATTTGGCTACTAACTAATTTTGCAACCTCGGGCAAATCATTTAATCTCCATTGTCTCTGTAGAATGCCCAGGATGGTGATGGTGGTGGCAGCAGCGGTGGCGGTGTGCCACATGGTTCGTTAGAGACAAGGCAGATAAGTTTTCAGGCTTAGTTCTGCAGCACCTTATGGTACGTCAGTGTCCCTCAGGGACTTCTTATTTTTTAGAGGGAGGACTGGAGGAGCTTTCTATCCTTGTTTCTATCAAACCACCTCTATTTTTTTTTTTTTTTTTTTTGCGGTACGCAGGCCTCTCACTGTTTTGGCCTCTCCTGTTGCGGAGCACAAGCTCCGGACGCGCAGGTTCAGCAGCCATGGCTCACGGGCCCAGCCGCTCCACGGCATGTGGGATCCTCCCAGACCGGGGCACGAACCCGTGTCCCCTGCATCAGCAGGCGGACTCTCAACCACTGCGCCACCAGGGAAGCCCAAACCACCTCTATTTTAATCTCTTTTGACATTTGGGGATTCTAAGAGTACCTTCTCCTGAACAAAGGATTCTTTGGACCAAAAAAAAAGAAGGCTTGGATCTCTAAAATTATCATTAGTATGTGACATATTTTTACTGTGTGGTAAAGCAAGTCTTTCTACTCTCAAGGGTCAGTAATGGCATTGTATCCCAGATTTTAGTTTGTTTCAACCTTCCTAATACCTTTAGTATTTTATTGACATGAAAGCATAGAAAATTAACACTGGTTTCACTCATAGAGTTCCTTAGTGTTTTTAGTGCATGAATACCTCTTGAACACAGAAGCAGTTTTGTTTGTGAGCTTGTGTTAGGGTTCTCCAGAGAAACAAAGCTAACAGGATATGTAAATATATATGGAGAGACGTATATTTTAGGAAATTGGTTCTTGTGATTGTGGAAGCTTGGCGAATCCAAAATCTAATGGGGTAGGCTGGCAGGCTTGGAGATTCAAGGGAGGGTTGCAGTTTGAATCCAAAGGCAGTCTGCTGACAGAATTCGTTCTTGCTCAGGGGAGGTCAGTCTTAGTTCTAGTGAGGCCTCAGCTGATTGGATGAGGCCCACCACGTTATGGAAGGTAAACTGCTTTACTCAGAGTCTACTGATTTAAACGTTAATCTCATCTAAAAAATGCCTTCACAGAAACATGTAAAATAACGTTTGACTGAATATTTGGGTACCGTAGCCTAGCCAAGTTGACATAAAAAATTAGCCATCCTAGAACCTTTCCATGTGCAAGTTTGCTTCTTAAAGGTTTACCACCTCTCAGCTGAAAATATAATCTTCTGTCTTAAACCTTTTCCTGAACTTAATATAAAGAGGGAACTGAATCACATTCAGGAAAAAAGAAAAGTAATGCCTTATCTCCATAATAAAAGGTCTTAGAAACTCAGAGAATATGATTTAGACATAATAGAATTACTTTTGTATTAAAGCCACCCTTAAAGTTAGATTCTTCTGCTCTGTCAAGGGCCTAGTACAGGTCAACTTGCCCAACACTCAGAAAATATAGACTGAAAAGTTTTAAATGAAAAGTCACCAGCTAGGACCTTTTTATAAGGATATAGTGAGTGAATGTTAATATCTAATATTAAAAGAAATGTTTTTAGCAATATATTGTGGGGGGTTATTTTTTGAAATGATTTGTTAAATTATTTACTGCTCTGGTATCTGGGGAATTCAGAGATACTAGTTTGAGTTTCATCTCTGCAACTCGACGATGGTGTGATGATCTTGGATAAAAAACTTAGTCTTTACTGCCCCTCCCTGCAGTCCCCATCTGTAAAATAGGGATGAGAATATGTAACATCTGCCTCACTCACATGGCCATTATTATGAGAATAAAATTTATTCAATAAATAATTCACTATACCTTGATTATGTGGCAAGCATTGTTCTAGGTGCATGGAATACCTCAGTGAACAAAACAGAGATCTCTGGCCTCATGGAATTTATGTTTTAAAAGGAGTGCAGGGAGCTTCCCTGGTGGCGCAGTGGTTGAGAATCCGCCTGCCAGTGAAGGGGACACAAGTTCGATCCCTGGTCTGGGAAGGTCCCACATGCCGCGGAGCAACTAAGCACGTGCACCACAACTACTGAGCCTACGTGCCGCAACTACTGAAGCCCGTGCGCCTAGAGCCCATGCTCCACAACGAGAAGAAGCCACCGCAATGAGAAGCCCGTGCACCGCGACGAAGAGTAGCCCCCGCTCACCACAACTAGAGAAAGCCTGTGTGCAGCAACAAACACCCAACACAGCCAAAAATAAATAAATAAAATAAATAAATTTATAAAAAAAATAAAAGGAGTGCAGGGAGGGACTTCCCTGGTGGTCCAGTGGCTAAGACTCCATACTCGCAGTGCAGGGGGCCCAGGTTCGATCTCTGGTCAGGAAACTAGATCCCACATGCTGCAACGAAGAGCCCACGTGCTGCAACTAAAGATCCTGCATGCCACAACTAAGACCCGATGCAGCCAAATAAATATTTTAAAAATAATAAAATTAAATTTTAAAAAAAGGAGTACAGGGGAACAAACAGTAAACATTATATTGGAAAGGAAGCACAAAGTAAAATCTCGAGTTTGCAGATAGCAAAGTTTTTCTGAGTGGTAGAGTACTACGCTAGTAAGGCAAATTGGAGGAAGATCTCAGAAGATTAGCAGACTGATTATAACCTGTGTGTTTTCTTTTATGTAACCTCTCAGTTTATGATCCCCAAATCAGCATATTCAAAATTGGTCACCAACCCTAGAGACTATATTTTTTTTCTATTTTATTATGAAAGTTTTTGAGCATAGGTAACTAGAAAAAATTTTACAATGAACACCAGTATACCCGTCACCTAATTTCTGCCATTAGCATATCACTATACTTATATTAATCACATACCTGTCCATCTATCCATCCACTGGTCATATTTAATTTATGAGAAATTGCCAGACTGTTTTCTTTGTAATGTATCAGTAGTTCCTTTTTATTTTTGGGTAATATTTAATTGTATGGATATATTCATCCTCCAGTTGATGGGCATGTGAGTTATTTCCACTTTGGAGACATTATAAATGAAGCTGCTACAAACATATGAACATTGGCTTTTGTGTGGACATACTTTTTTGTTTTTCTTGTGTAAAATTTAATAGTCAGATTTTTCACTTCTAGATTTCCATTTGGTTATTATAGTTTTTATTTCTCTGCTATTTGTGTATTCATTATAAGCACATTTTCCTTTACACCACTGAGAATAGTTAAAATCTCTGCTTTAAAATCCTTGTCTGCTAATTCCAAAATCTGAGTCACCTCAGAGATTGTCTCTGTTGATTGTCTTTTCTTTTAAGGATGGGTCACATTTTCCTGTTTCTTCAAAGGTTGAGTAACTTTAAATTGATAATTTAAATCTGAGTAAATTTAGATCTTAACATTGCAACTGTTAGGTTGTGGAGACTGCATTTTGACAGTGCTGATGCTTTTGTTTTAGCAGGAATTTAACTGGTTTGTACTCAGATAGCATGCTCTGTCTCTTGGGCAGCAGCTCAAATTTCAGTTAGGCTTTTCTGGCCTTAGTAGGACTGCTTGGGTCTGTCCTACACATGTGTTGTTCAGAGGTCAGCCAGAGATCTGGCAGAGATTATCTGCGGAACTCAGAGTACCCCTTTTCTGGCTGTCTCTAGAATTCCCTCCTCACTTTAGAGCAGCTGAGTTGCCCAAAACTCTTGTTTTCTGGTTCTTCAAGCTAGAAAGATGAAGGATATTCTGTTGTACCTTTATCATCCAACTTGGCACATAGTAGGCCTGCCTTCCAGATAAAAGGCATTTTAAAAAGAGAGAGAGAGACCAGGAAATTTACCCAATGCTGTTCCCTTCTTCCTCTCGTAGAAGACATCCCTCCAGAATCTGCCTGATTTTGGTCACTTTCCTGTGCCTTCAGATGGTTGTTTTATATTTCGTCCAGAAT